ATCTTTTCAAAAAACCAGCTTCTGGATTCATTGATTTTTTTTTTTTTTTTGAAGCGTTCTTTTGTGTCTATCTCATTTAGTTCTGCTCTGATCTTAGTTATTTCTTGTCTTCTGCTAGCTTTTGAATTTGTTTGGTCTTCCATGGCAATCAAGTCAGCTTAATCCCTGGGATGCAGGCGGGTTCAACAGACGCAAATCAATAAACGTAATCCATCACATAAACAGAACCAGTGACAAAAACCACATGATTATCTCAATAGATGCAGAAAAGGCCTTTGATAAAATTCAACACCCTTTCATGATGGAACGTATCTCAAAATAATAAAAACTATTTATAACAAACTCCAGTCAATATTATACTGAATGTGCAAAAGCTGGAAGCATTTTCTTTGAAAACCAGCACAAGACAAGGATACCATCTCTCACCATTTCTATCAACATAGCACTGGAAGTTCTGGCCAGAGCAATCAGGCAAGAGAAAGAAATAAAGGATATTCAAATAGGAAGAGAGGAAGTCAAATGATCTCTGCAGATGACATGATTGTATATTTAGAAAACCCCATTGCCTCAGCCCAGAAGCTCCTTAAGCTTATAAGCAACTTCGGGAAAATCTCAGGATACAAAAATCAATGTGCAAAAATCACAAGTATTCCTATACACCAATAGTAGACAGACAGCCAAATCATGAGTGAACTCTTATTCACAATTGTTATGAAGAGAATAAAATATTTAGGAATACAAATTACAAGGGACGTGAAGGACCTCTTTTTTTTTTAAAGACGGGGTTTCATCATGTTGGTCAGGCTGGTCTTGAACTCCCGACCTCAGGTGATCCACCCGCCTTAGCCTCCAAAGGGCTTGGATTACAGGCGTGAGCCACCGCGCCTGGCTGGACCTTTTTAAGGAGAACTATAAACCACTGCTCAAGGAAATAAGAGAGGACACAAACAAATGGAAAAGCATTCTATGCTCATGGATACAAAGAATCAATATTATGAAAATGGACATACTGCCCAAAGTAATTTATAGATTCAATGCTATCCCCATCAGGCTATCATTGGCTTTCCTTACAGAATTGGAAAAAACAACTTTAAATTTCATATGGAACCAAAAAAGAGCCTGTATAGCCAAGTCAAACCTAAGCAAAAGAAGAAAGCTGGAGGCATCACGCTACCTGACTTCAAACTATACTACAAGGCCACAGTAACTGAAACAGCATGTTACTGGTACCAAAACAGATATATAGACCAATGGCATAACAGGGGCCTCAGATATAATGCCACACATCTATAACCATCTGATCTTTGAGAAACCTGACAAAAACAAGCAATGGGGAAAGGATTCCGTATTTAATAAATGGTGTTGGGAAAACTGGCTAGCCATATGCAGAAAACTGAAACTGGACCCCCTCCTTACTCCGTATACAAAAATTAACTCATGATGGATTACAGACTTAAAACCATAAAAACCCTAGAAGAAAACCTAGGCAAAACCATTCAGGACATAGGCATGGGCAAAGACTTCATGACCAAATTCACCAAAAGCAATGGCAACAAAAGCCACAGTTGACAAATGGGATCTAATTAAAGTAAAGAGCCTCTGCACAGCAAAAGGAACAATCTTCAGAGTGAACAGGCAACCTACAGAATGGGAGAAAATTTTTATAGTCTATACAGCTGACAAAGGGCCAATATCCAGAATCTGCAAAGAACTTAAACAAATTTATAAGAAAAAAACAACCCTATCAAAAAGTGACTGAAAGAAAAGAACAGACACTTCTCAAAAGAAGACATTTATGCGGCCAAGAAACATACGTAAAAAAGCTCATCATCACTGGTCATTAGAGACATGCAAATCAAAACCACAATGAGATACCATCTTATGCCAGTTAGAGTGGCAATCATTAAAAAATCAGGACACAGCAGATGCTGGAGAGGATATGGAGAAATAGGAACGCTTTTACACTATTGGAGAGTATAAATTAGTTCAACCATTGTAGAAGACAGTGTGGCGATTCCTCATGGATCTAGAACTAGAAATACCATTTGACCCAGCAATCCCATTACTGGGCATATACTGAAAGGATTATAAGTCATTCTACTATGAAGACACATGCACACATATGTTTATTGCAGCACTGTCCACAATAGCAAAGACTTGGAACCAACCCAAATGCCTATCAAGGATAGACTGGATAAAGAAAATGTGGCACATATACACCATGGAATGTTATGTAGCCATAAAAACAGATGAGTTCATGTCCTTTGCAGGGACATGGATGAAACTGGAAACCATCATTCTCAGCAAGCTAACACAGGAACAGAAAACCAAACACTGCATGTTCTCACTCTTTAGTGGGAGTTGAACAATGAGAACACGTGGACACAGGGAGGAGAACATCACACACCAGGGCCTGTTGGGGGCTGGGGGGTCAGGGAAGGGATAGCATTAGGACAAATACCTAATGTAGATGAGAGGTTGATGGGTGCAGAAAACCACCATGAGATGTGTATACGTATGTAACAAACCTGAATGTTCTGTACATGTATCCCAGAACTTAAAGTATTAAAAAACAAAACAAAATTCACCATGCTCCATCTCATTTAAGCCTCGCATTGATGCCCTAAGGAAAACACTGTTGTTACCCCATTTTATAGATGAAAAATGGAAGCCAAGGGAAATTGAGAACATTGCCCAAGCCCACATAACTAGTGAGTGGCAGAGCTAGCATTCCAACCACAGAACTGTACAATAAAGTACTAGCTTCTCTTGAGTGAGAGACAGTGCAATATCTAACTAAAGAGATGTGCCAGGCAAGGAGGCAGAAGGCAAGGTTTCCATGAATACCTCTCAACCTCAATTTATTCAACCACAGTGTAAAAAGAAAAAAAAAATGCCTATTTTGGTTATCTCACAGAGTATTTGCCGGTCTAATTTCTAAAGTCCTCTGAAGGCTCGAAACTGCTCCCTGTGTGCTAGTTTAGGAATTGTTCATTCAGACCAGTTGATGTCTTTCTGGCCTCTAGCTGGCTGAAGTTAGAGGCTCCCTTCTTCTGGTCCTTGGGAAGGGTCTCCTCTGCCAGAGTGGGGTGTGGAGTGTGTGAGCCAGGGCCTATGTGGGGCGAGCTGGGCTTCTCAGGGTGCAGGGAGGGTACCAGGAAGAAATCTGATCTCCTTGACTCTTTAAAGCCCATTATCTGTTCACTTTAATCAAATGGAGCATTTATTTCTTTGTGTTTTTATTTCTGATTATTGTAGCTAGATTTCATTTTAGTATATTTAAGACTTGGGTTTTTTGTCCAAGTAAACATGTTGAGTCTGTTCCTCTAATTTAAGGGAATTAGAACACTGAAAATGTTTAATTTTTGATAAAGGAACGAGAAAAAAGAAAGCATGAAAGAATTCTGAGTGAAGAACTTGTTGCTGCTGTGACCTATCTCAACCAGTTTTTGCCTCCTGAGCACACTATTGTTTATATTCCTTGGGACATGGCCAAGTATACCAAAAGGTGAATGATACTCATCTGTCTGGCTGTGATCATTTCCTTTTCTTATAATGACAAATAACAGGAAGCTGACCTCTGTGGTAAAGTAAATGTTACCCTTTTAATTTCCTTCATGAACCTGTTGAGGGGCTGTTTTGAGTACATCAATAAACTCACCAAAGTTTTTTTTTTTTGACTATCATATATACCATTTGCAAATTGTTTGAAATATCTAGTCATTTCAGAACATCTCTATGAATGTTCCTTAAAGGCATTAGTTTCACTTTTTTCTATATCATTCTGTCTCACTATTAAAAACTTTCTCAGATATCACTCGTGGATGAACCTGTGATCATTCCTGATTGTATATAGTAGATCCAAATTCCTTAGTGTAACGTTAAAACCTCATCATCTGTTTGGCTTCAGAATGCAATCACTTTTTATTTATCCCAAGGGCTGTTCTGTTCCAGAAAACCCAATCTTCATGCTCTGCCACAAATGTAGCAGCCAAAGTCCTATCCCTAAGCCTCCATTCCATTCCTATTCTTCACCCTCCCTAGGATATTTTCCCACCTCTCTTTTATATTTCAACATCTGATTCAAAACTCATCTCTTCTAAGGAACTTACCTTTGTTAAATCTTGTACTTTTGTTCACTTACTACACATCATACAAGCTCTAGGTTTGCTTACATTCTCATTTTTTAAAATGTTACTGTATTGTTTTGTACCTAACTCATTGTACTTTTTTCTAAATGATTTTATACAGTTAGATAAACACACACACACACACGCATGCACGCATGCACGCACGCATGCACGCACACTTTCCTGAGTATAAGTTTGGTACAAGTAGTTGCCGTTTGTATTTATTATTATTACTATTTAAACAGAGTCTCGCTCTGTTGCCCAGGCTGGAGTGCAGTGGTGCGATCTCAGCTTACCGCAGACTCTGCCTCCCGGGTTCAAGCGATTCTCCGGCCTCAGCCTCCCAAGTAGCTGGGACTACAGTCATGCACCACCATGCCTAGCTAATGTTGTGCTTTTCGTGGAGATGGGGTTTCACCATGTTGGCCAGGGTGGTCTCAAACTCCTGACCTAAAGTGATCCACCCTCGTCGGCCTCTGAAAGTGCTGGGATTACAGGGGTGAGCCACTGTGCCCGGTTGCCATTCATATTATTTTCCTTTCTTTTCCCACTGCCAGCTGCACTGTGCATGGTGCTCTTTTCACAGCCATTTTATGAATGTGTATTGACTTGACAGCTCTTGAGGAGTGAAAGTCTTTGGAGAAAGCTCATACAGGGATGTTATATACCAAGATTAAGGATCACCAATATTTGATATTAAGTTACAGGTCTTTTGTGTCTCTTGCACATAAAATGTTGCTGGTTACCAAGTATACATTATATTCTAGACATTGTCACATGTTCCTATCAAGTACCAGCCAAGAGATTTTAAAAATTATATCCCTAAATATTATTCGTATAGACTTTACTGGTTTTAGATATAAGGATAAATATGTATTAAAACTTGTCTTCTTCTCACTTTTCTCATTCTTCCTTCTCTCCTCAGCAAGCTGTGTAATGTTCTTGATCGACTGAATGTGATTGCAGAAAGTGTGGTGAAGAAAACAGGTTTCTTTGTAAACCGCCCTGATTCTTACTGCAGCATTTTGCGGCCAGATGAAAAGTATGTATGCTATTTTAAAACTTACAATAAGCCATGATTTTTGCTCTTGTGGGTATTCTAAATATGAGCAGTTAGTACTGCTTGGAAATTAGATTAATTTAGTCCTAGGGGGAGGCAAACTGCTCACATGACTGTGTACTGTATGTTCACTGGGACGTGGGAATTCTTTTGGTGATTACTTACATACCTTGAGATGGAAGCCATGGGATCTTTATCTCTTGCTTCATAAAACAAATGTTACATAAAATATTTCTGTAAGTAAAATTTTCAACAGTTCACTCTATTTTTCACTATTGAAATAGCAACATTTTTCTTATAGATTTGGTACTAACAATTTTGTGAAAATAGTACTTATTGTATTATAGTTATTTGCTCACAAATCTTTCATTACTATTTTGGGAGCTTCTTCAGAGCAAGGATTTATGCTTTTTCTTTTAAGAAACCAATATTATGTATTTCTGGCATTTTATTTTCAGTTAATGTAGTTAACTACAATGATAAGACAACAAAAAACAACCAACTATATTGTATATGTGTATATGTCTTTGGAAGTAATCCTTTTGTTATAGTTTGCATTGTTTGCACTTGCTAATTGTTTGAATTTTAGGGTACCCATGACAGGGGTTCCCTAAGACCACTCCCAGATTCAGTGATTCACTAGGAGAACTGAAAGGACCAGCCTGTTGTTGGATTCTGGCTATAATTTATTGTGGTGAAAGGATATAAAGTGAAATTAAAAGGGGAAAAACAAGCTTCCAGAGTCTTCTCCCTAGTGGTGTCACAGAGAACACACTTAATTCTCCCAAGAAACAGGTTGTGAAGCATGGGTGAAATGTTGCCAGTCAAGGAAGCGTGTTGGAGACTCTGTTTTTTACTGGAGGCTGGTCACATAGGCAGCCTCTGCCTGTCATATACCAAAATTCCTGACTTCCAGAGGGAAAAAAGGGTTCAGGAAAAACCGTATTATTTATACAAACCATTTCAGCACAGTGAGCCACTCTTATCAGTTCTGGGAATGATGGAAACCCTCCTGAAATTTAAGTTCCCAGACATTGACCAAGCTCCAACCTTATAAGCAGGACTTTCTAAGGATAGCAGTTAGGACTGTTCGGTTAATTCTTTTCTGTACAGCACCTTCTTTTAAATAATTAAAATATTAACATTATCTATAGTATTTCATAACAAAACATATTCCTATGTATTCATTGCACATGGAGAAAATAAGTAGTCTCTAAAAAGAAACCTGTAAAACCAACTGAAGAAATATAACAAAGCCTCCATGAATAAAAGCTGGAGGAGGTGGAGAATCCTAATGTTGAGCTGGGAAGGCTAAGGCTTGGAAGATTTTATTAGAAAGATTCCTACGAGCTGGATGCGGTGGCTCACGCCTGTAACCCCAGCACTTTGGGAGGCCGAGGTGGGTGGATAATGAGTCAAGAGGTCGAGACCATCCTGGCCAACATGGTGAAACCTTGTCTCTACTAAAAATACAAAAATTAGCTGGGCATGGTGCCTGTAATCCCAGCTACTCAGGAGGCTGAGGCAGGAGAATTGCTTGAACCTGGGAGGCCGAGGTTGTGGTGAGCCGAGATTGCCCCACCCCCTTGTACTCCGCCCTACGATTATTATTCATGTGTATGGAGACCAAATAAGAAGTGCATTTGAATGAAAGCAAGGGAGATTTTGGTTGAGCATAGGTAACAAAATGCCACAGTGGGCACTTGGGCAAATTAAATTGCCCCTTTCCTGGACTCTTTGAGGAGAGTGTGGTAAGCAGTTTGTCTCAGTCATTTGCATGTTTACTTACCTGAAAGAATGAGAGTGGGCAGGATCAGCTGATTTTTCAGGAGCCTTCAGCTCTATTATTTTGATTCTATGATTCTTAACAAGGAGCTGGTACCAAAAATAAATATTCTGTCATTAACTTTTTAAAAAATGTTTATTTTTCAATACAGGTGGAATGAACTAGGAGGATGTGTGATTCCCACTGGTCGCCTGCAGGTATACACAATATTATATTCATAGTGAATATATCTGTATCCATTGTGTACTGTATGTTTTCTGCAAGCAATCATGGAGAGACCTATATCTTATTTAATGCAGAATTATTATTTGAGAATGTTGTTAAAAGCCTTACTTCTAGTCTTTAATGCTTATGAAAAATGTGTAGCTGGCCAGGCGCGGTTGCTCATGCCTGTAATCCCAGCACTTTGGGAGGCCGAGGCAAGTGGATCACGAGGTCAGGAAATTGAGACCATCCTGGCTAACACAGTGAAACTCCATCTCTACTAAAAATACAGAGAAATTAGCCAGGTGTGGTGACATGTGCCTGTAGTTCTAGCTATGTGGGAGGCTGAGGCAGGAGAATTGCTTGAACCCAGGAGGCAGAGGTTGCAGTGAGCAGAGATCACGCCACTGCACTCCAGCCTGGGTGGCAGAGTGACATTCCATCTAAAGAAAAAAAAAAAAAGAAGAAAAGAAAAATGTGTAGCTGAAATAATATGGCCTATGAATTTTTTCTATATGTGAAAATTTGATTACTGGAAATAGAAACACAAACAGGAGCATGATGAGAATAAAGTAGAGTGACTTTAAAAAAGAAGCCAAGTGTATATACTATATATGTTAACTATGCTTTAAGACTGATATGGCCCTAACCACTGAATATTTGGGTTGTATAATAAAGGAGATATGTCAGAAAAAAGCACATATTTTGCTATTTGATACATGTGGAAATTGTTAGTTATTTGTTTTATTTTGTTAAACTAACAAAGTAAATTCAAATATAGACCAGAATATTTAATGATACTGTTACATCAGCATGTATAACCTTATGCAACTTTAAAAATGTTCTTCAGGCCAGGCGTGATGGCTCATGCCTGTAATCCCAGCACTTTGGGAGGCTGAGGCGAGCAGATCATAAGGTCAGGAGATTGAGACCATCCTGGCTAACACAGTGAAACCCCATCTGTCCTAAAAATACAAAAAATTAGCCAGGCATGGTGGTGGGCACCTGTAATCCCAGCTACTTGGGAGGCTGAGAGGAGAATCGCTTGAACCAGGAAGCAGTGAGCCGAGACCTCGCCACTGCACTCCAGCCTGGGTGACAGAGTGAGACTCCATCTCAAAAAAAAAAAAAAAAAAGTCTTCATTTTTTTGACTTTACGTAAAACTGAATAATATTTGTTCAGGAATAACACCTGCCCACAGACTTTTTCGTTTCTTTTCTTCTTTTTTTTGCTTCTTAAAGAAAAGAAATCTAAAGTAGTATGGAAGTTCTTTGGTTATGAAATAATGATTGAAACTCTTAAGGTATTTCTCTTTAGACTGGCATCCTTCGAACCAACTGTGTAGACTGTTTAGATCGCACCAACACAGCACAGTTTATGGTGGGAAAATGTGCTCTGGCCTATCAGCTGTATTCATTGGGATTGATTGACAAACCTAATCTACAGTTTGATACAGATGCAGTTAGGTAAGCCTTATGTTTTGCTGTTTGAATGCTGGTAATGACAGAAGGCAAATCTGGTTAATAATAAGATTTTTTTTATGAATATGTTTCTACTTTTAGCTTCTCAAAAATTATGTTGCTAGAAAACATTATTCAAACTAATTCTGTTTTTCTTATGTTTTCTTCTACCAGTTTTATAGTTTTTGATCTTATGTTTAAGTCTTGATCTATCTTGAGTTGATTTTTGTACTCGATGAGAGATGGGGGACCAATTTCATTCTTCTGCATTTGAATATCCAATTTTCCCAGCACCCATTTGTTGAAGAGGGTGTCCTTTCCCTAGTGTATGTTCTTGGTGTCTTAGAATAAATATTTCTATTAAAGACTTATGTATTCTTGCCATGGTTTGGGCTTTGGGTTTTTCTTTTGTTGTTGTTTTTGCTTGTGTTAATTATGAATAAACACCACATTCTTTAGATAAATCCAAAGTACTTAGACAAACTAGTGGGTGTTTTTTTTAAAAAAACAAATCCATATGGCATTTTTTTTTTTTAAAGTACTGTGTCTTCCTACATACTAAAAATCTGAGATGTTTAAAAGATTGATTCTTCATTAAGGATTACTATTTCTTCACTGTCTTTTGGATCTGTGGCAGTCCATGAAGTATAATTTTTTGAAAATATAGTTAATGATAGCTGGTACTGGTCATCAGAAATTGTCACAAAGGCTCAGCTCAGGAAAGTAATCAGATTAACAAATGGCCAGACCAACAGATATCACTGCACTGGAAGTATTAACAGGCACTTGAAGAAACACAAGTTTCAAAAGTACATATCTAAGAAAGAATATGATTTGTTAGTCTGCTGTGATTTGAATCTTTGTGTCTTCCCTAAGTTCATATGTTGAAATCCTAACCCCCAAAGGGGTAGTATTAGGACATGTGACCTTTGAAAAATGAGTGGAGCTGAGAGGAACCCTCATGATTGGGACTAGTGTCCTTATTATAAAAGACTGAAGAAAGCTAGCTAGCCCCTTCCATCATGTGAGGACACAATGAGAATGCCATCTGTGATCTAGGAAATGGGCCCTCACCAGACACCACATCTACCAGCTTCTTGATCTTGTGCTTCCCAGCCTCCAGAAATGTGAGAAATAAATGTTTGCTGTTTATAAGCCACCCAGTTTATGGTGTCTTGTTGTAGCAGCTCGAATGGACTAAGACACTGTGACAGGAGCATATTCTTTTTTCAGAGGCAATTCATAGAGCACAGTACATTCTGTCACGTGAGGTGAATTGCTCTGGCAGGCTACAGAAAGTTTGGAGTCTTTAAATATGGTTAGAAACAGCCTGGTCTGGCTTTGGTGGGTTATGTTTTTGGTGTCCCTGCTTCCGTTTTAGTGTTTTCTGTGGTTTTGGTGTTTATTGGAGTATCACTCAAAACTATATTAGCATTTGCATTTATTTTCAAGATGTTAAAGAGTCTAACTTGAAAGGAAAGGCTCAGAAGAATGTTTAAAATGTAAGATTTGTTTGGAATTTGGCTAAGTAAATAACTTGTGCTTTGATTTTGGTAAAATTCTTTAAAGTGAGTTTTTCTTTTTTTTTTAGGTTATTTGAGGAACTCTATGAAGATCATGGCGATACCTTATCCCTTCAGTATGGTGGTTCTCAACTTGTTCATCGCGTGAAAACCTACAGAAAGATAGCACCATGGACCCAGCACTCAAAAGACATTATGCAAACCCTGTCTAGATATTACAGCAATGCCTTTTCAGGTAATTCTGAAGTAATAGGTATTTTTAAGACTTACTCTGAAGTGCATTTTTTATACATTTCTAAAAGCTATGTGGCTAAGTAAAATTAAAATTAAATATTTTTAAAGTTTAAATAAAACAGTCTGTCACTTAGAAGGTGCTCAGTAAATATTTGTTCAGTAAATGAATGAATAAACATTTGTATTTTAAATAGGACGCTTTTGCATTTTGGCACCCATAATTACAGTTTTTATATAATGCAACACAGTTTAAGTCCTTGGCTTCTGTCTCTTTCTATTTTTCTGCTTGCAGTATATAGATACAATTTCTTGAGGGTGTTGAGTCATTTTTTTAAATAGGGTTCAAAGTCTCGACAATTGTCTAACAGTGTAAATATCGCTGAATTTTTTTAAATGTCAGCTAGAAATGAATTGTGATATTAGCACTAAATTATACTCATTAAATTCTACTGTTTTATGACTTGTGAATACTACATGGAACAGGGTGATAAAATGGTACTTTCCTGCCTCCATTCTGATGGAATTGCCAATACAATGGGTATCACAGACCAAAGTGATTGTGAAACAAACCCCCATGCACAGAATTTATGAAGGAAGTGCTCAGTGGTTGATTTCATGAGTCTTCAGCCCTTGTATTAGATTAAGGATAGAAAAGTTTACAGAATGTGGAGAAGAAGATTGATAAAGAGGTCCTTGGGAGTGAACTATGCCTGCAGTAACAACCACCCTCAGTGAAAATATAGTGGGCTTCAACAGGACTCTGGGTGAGCTTGACATAGTATCCTGCTGTTGAAGAGACCCAGAGTGTAGACCCTCGGCTGTTGCACAGCAAATCTGAAGCGGAGGGATAGGCTGAGGAGAGTGTGCCACGTTGGGAACTGTCTGTACTCCTCCAGTTGGGTGGGCCAAAGTGTACTTGAGTGTTGACTAGTAACTGGATGTGGGCCTCATGGAGGAGGGTGCCAGCATGGAGTTGGGCTGGGTCCTGGCCAGTAAGGCTCCTGGAAGGACAGAGAGACTCTAGCAGCAAGATCCAGGAGGTAAACACCGGATTCTTAAGGTAACACCAGATACCTACCAAGCCAAGGAAGGAGTTACAGGAAACTGCCTGACAAAAGGGAATTGCAAGAGTCCCCAGTGCTGGCAGCTTCAGAAGCATCTGGGACAGTATCCGTAAGAGTCAGCTATCCACATTTTCTAGGCCCAGAGAGATTGCAAAGCTGGGTCTTACACTCCTGTCCAACTGTGTTAGTTTTCTGTGCTGTGTAACAAATGACTATAAACTTAGCAGCTTAAAACAGCACACATGCATTATCTCACAATGTCTGTGTATCAGACATTTATGCACAACTTAACTGGGTGCCCCCTGCTTAGCGTCTCTCAAGGCTGCCATTGGGAAGGAACCACCCCCAGCTCACGTGTTGGCAGAATTCAGTGCCTTATGGCTGTAGGACTTATAACAGCATGCGTCTTCACAGCTTACAAGAGAATGAGTGTGCCAGCAAGACCGAGTGTGCCAGCAAGACCGATGATCATGGGAGTGACATCCTGTTGTCTTTGCCATATCCCTTTGGTCAGGAGCAAATCACATGTGCCCCCGCTCACACACACAAGGGAAATCCACATTCGTTTCCCAGGACTGCTGTGTCAAAACAGCACAAACCGGTGGCTCAAAACAATAGAAATGTATTGTCTTGCAGCTCTGGAGGCTAGGAGTCTGAATTCTAAGTGTTGACAGGGCCATGCTCCCTCTGAAAACCCAGAGAGGAGAATCCTTACCAGTTGCGTCTGTCGCGTGCCAACAGACATATCCCTCGGAGTGTATGTCACTATGAAAAAAGCCATCTGTTCTTCTGCCCTCTCCTATCTTCATTGTCCCTGTAATAAGGGTCATTCTTGTTACTTAAGGGTGAAGTAATGTGCTTTTTAATAAGACTAGAGGATAGACAGAATGACTGTGTAGCTGTCCATGTTTAAAAAAGAAAGAATAATATAAAGGATAAAGATAGTCATGAGAAAGTAATGTGCACAAATGGAAAGGTAAGGCAAAATTATGCACAACTGAAAGAGGAACTATGAAAGGAATGATTTTATGAATAATGTGGCTAAAACAGTCTTCTTTATTTTAAGAAGCATGGTGTCATTGGGGTGTACAACTTATTTTTAAATTACAATGGGTATTATATAATGGTGACAATATAGAACAATTTTCTTTAAACCACTCAAGACAACTTTGCAAAACTTAAATCAGTCGTCTCATGTTATGCCTCTGGGCTAGGCAGGAAGATACACTAAGAAACAGGAAAAAAAAAAAAAAAACCACTGGGTGCAGTGGCTCACGCTTGTAATCCTGCATTTTGGGAGACCAAGACAGGAGGATTGCTTGAGCCCAGGAGTTTGAGACCAGCCTGGGCAACATAGTGAGACCCCATCTCTACAACAAATACAAAAATTAGCCTAGCATGGTAGTGCACACCTGTAGTCCCAGCTATGTGGGAGGCTAAGGGCAGAGGATTCCTTGAGCCTAGGAGTTCGAGGCTGCAGTGAGCTATGATCATGCCACTGCACTCCAGCCTGGGTGACAGAGTGAGACTTTCTCTCTCTCAGAAAACAAGCAAACAAAAGCAACCAGAATAGTGAGATTAAGTTGTTAGGAATTTTACCCTTGGTTTATGTGGGCAGATTGATGCTATGTAGGCAATTCACCTGACCCTTTTTCTGATTCATTTCAAAAACTGTTCTTGAGGCTTCACGTGCTAGCATGCATGTTTGTCTCTAGGAAGTACCATTTAGTTTTTAATATAACTAGTTACATAGGCAGTTTGAGGATGCTTTACAGGGAAAGCATAGGTATCTAAGTACTCTCTTCACATGTTAGGGAGGGCTTTTAATTCCCTTAATGGCCTTGTTAAGTGTTTTCTAATTTTTTTTTAAATTCAAATTTTGTAAGCCTGGATTTTCTTGTTGAGTTTAAATCCTATTATAAAAAAAAGATAAGAAACCTACAGCAGTTAATAATAGATATGCTGTAGATACGTATGTGTGTGTGTACATATATATATATATATATGCCTAACATAAATATATACACCCACATGCGTGTGCATAATGGAAATGTAGTGAATGTGTGTATGCATGCATGGAGGGGAATCATGTCCTCAAACAGGGATCTAAAGAGAAAAGATCACAAGGTGTGTTAGGCCATTTTTGCATTGCCATAAAGAAATGCCTGAGACTGAGTAATTTTATAAAGAAAAGAAGTTTACTTGGTTCATGATTTTGTAGGCTGTACAGGAAACATGGTGCCAGTATCTTCTCGGCTTCTTTTTTTTAGAGGAAGAAAGAGAGAAAGAATAAAAAAAAAAAGAAAAAGAAAAAAGAATGAAGGAAAGAAGAAAGAGGAAGAGGGAGAGAGAACAGGGGTGTTGCTTTATTGCCCGGGCTAGAATGCAGTCTAAATGGGTATGCCTGTAATTGTGTTTAATAATAGAGACATAAACAAAAAAAAAAAAAAAGAGGGAAGAAAATAATTAACAAGCAGCCAACCAATATTTCATTTAAACCTGTAAATAGGTGTGATGTAGTACTGATAAGAGTGTATATTTTGTGTATTTAAAGTGGAGAGTTCTATAAATGTTAATTAAGTCTACTTGTTCCGGATCTGAGTTCAAGTCCTGAATATCGATGTTAACTTTCTGTCTCATTGATCTGTCAAATATTAATGTTGAAGTCTCCCACTATTATTGTGTGGGAGTCCAAGTCTCTTTATAAGTCTTATATATCTGGGTATTCCTGTATTGGGTTCATATATATTTAGGATCTTTAGCTCTTCTTGTTATATTGATCCTTTTATCATTATGTAATATCCTTCTTTGCTTCTTTTGATCTTTGTTGCTTTGAAGTCTATTTTATCAGCAAAAATTGCAACTCCTACTTTCTGTTTATTTATTTTTGCTCTCCATTTGGTTGGTAAATTTTTCTCCATCGCTTTGTTTTGAGTCTTTGTGTATCCTTGCATGTGAGATGGATCTGGATATAGCATACCAATGGGTCTTGGCTTTTTTTTGCCTGTCTGTGTCTTTGGATTGGGGGATTTAGTCGATTTAAATTCAGAATTAATAACAATATATGTGAGTTTGATACTGTCATTTAATGTTAGCTGGCTGTTTTGCCCATTAGTTGATGCAATTTCTTAATTATCTTGATGTTCTTTATTTTTTGGTATTTTTTAGAAAGGCTGATACTGGTTGTTCCTTTCTATTTGTAGTGGTCCTTTCAGAAGCTCTTGTAAAGCAGGCCTGGTGGTTATGAAATCTCTGAGTGTTTGCTTGTTCACAAAAGATTTTATTTTTCCTTCGCTTATGAAGCTTAGTTTGGCTGGATGTAAAATTCTGGGTTGAAAGTTCTTTTCTTTAAGGATGTTGAATATTGCTCCCCACTCTCTTCTGTCTTGTAGGGTTTCTGCTGAGAGATCTGCTGTGAATCTCATGGGCTTCCCTTTGTGGGTAACCTGACCTTTCTCTCTGGCTGCCCTCAGTATTTTCTCTTTCATTTCAACCCTGGTGAATCTGGCGATTATGTGTCTTGAGGTTGGTCTTCTTGAGGAATATCTTTGTGGTGTTCTCTGTACTACCTGGAGTTGAATATTGTCCTGCCTTGCTAGGTTGGGAAAGTTTTCCTGAATAATATCCTGAAGCGTATTTTCCAGCTTGGATTGATTCTCTTCGTCACATTCAGGTACACCTATCAAACGTAGATTAGGTCTTTTCACATAGTCCCATATTTCTTGGAGACTTTGCTCGTTCTTTTTTATCCTTTTTTTCTCTAAATCTTGTCTTTTTGTTTCATTTCATTAAGTTGGTCTTCGACCTCTGATATCTTTTCTTCTGCTTGATCAATTCGGCTGTTAAAACTTGTGCATACTTCGCGAAGTTCTTGTGCTGTGTTTTTCAGCTCCATTAATTCACTTATATTCCTCTCTAAATTGTGTGTTATTGTTAA